GCTTGCTAAGAAGTTTGAAATGCCACAGAGCTCCTGGAGGAGGTGATACATTGCATGGGGTAGACTAGGCAACTGTGATAGGTAGCTTATCACAGATACTGGTGTGAAATAGCTGCTTGAAATAAAAAAAAAAACACCAAAAAACACACAAACAACCCCCCCATATTTTGCTATATAAGTGCAAACTTTTCAGTATTGCTTCTTGTGAATTCTTTCTTTAGTAAGGCTCTAATAGAGTACACGTTTTGTTTCCAGAAGGAGTGTGGTTGTTTAAAATGTGAACTGTGATGTGTGGATAATTGCTACCAGATGGGAGGTGCTGGCTTATTTGGATGCACATACTTGAAACCCGGTTTCTGCCATGGGTTGCTCTTTTACATAGATAGCTGTTGAAAGACTTGTAGCTTTTAACGTGGAGGAAAAACTTGCAAAAGGTGAATAGGGCTTTTTGGCCAGGCATGGCCTATTTGTGGCTTTCAAAGCCTTGGCTTGCAGGCAGAGCATGGGGCTCCCACACAAAGGTCACCTCACCTGGCTAGCAACAGGACTGTGCTGGGAAACCTGAAATGGTTAGTCTGGCTAGTTGCATGTCTTCTCAAGGAAATAAGAGTTGCTAGTTTGCCATAAAACTGCATGCTCCTGGATTTGGGGTCTGCTGTGGGAGCTGTGGGAGGCTTCAGGAATACCCACGCGTTCCAGCTTGAGAACTGCTCATAACCTCAGCTCTTGGAGGTATCTCGTGTCTTTCTCATGTGAAGATTTGGTATAGGTACGTAGCCAGAAGGTTGGCTGCTTGTGTGCTTGGTATAAATACCTGTTTTGTTCATTCTGGGACGTGGACTTTTGTAGAGCTTCCTGCTTTTCAAGCAAAGTAATGGAAACTGTTCAGATGTTGCTGTATCTTCACCCTTGTTTGTATCTAAAATGACCCGAGAATGGTCTGTTTGAATCTCGAGCTGCAGCAAAAATAGCTGGTTGCCAGGAAAAATACTCTTAAGCCTGTAACTGGCCTGCATAACTGCCAGTAGCACAAACATGAATGAGAAATTTTGTAATTTATTCCTGACTTGGTCATTTTTGTCATCTTGAAACTGTCATGTTCTCCAGCACCCTACCTTGGACCTCTTCTTCTGCCATCCAGTTGTAGTGGGGCGTACCTCACCTTCCCAAGCGCCCTTGCTACAGGGTGCACATCCTCCTGAACTCGCTTCTCAAATTTTCAAAACATGAAGGATTTTTAATTGCCTAATGTTTCACATAACAAGAAATGTCCAAGTCTCCTCCTTTGTGCTGAGAGGGGTTTTTTGTAGTGTCCGACAGCAGAGGTGCACCTCCCTGATGCTGCCTGTGGAAAAGCTTTTTTTCCCCAAACTCGTTCCTTCCTACAGCTTCCATGTTTATGGTAGGGGCAATGTTTTGGCTAAAGCTCGACTGGGTTTCTTGTGCACCTACAATAGATTTTTTTTGAAATAAGAAAAATAGGTACCCAGTCATCTTACCTGATCTTGGCATAAACTCATAAATTGTGCCAGAAACAGCTTTAAATTGGTTTGAAGACCCTCCTTGAGTCTCTGACAACCAAGCGATGATAATCCCTATTGCTAGATTTATCTGGATAAATGAACAATGCCAAAATTGCTCAATCCTGTATGCTCCCACTTGGTTCTGCTCTTTCAATTTCTCGTATCGATTTTTTCAGCTAGAATCTTGTAAACTATAAACTAGAAGGTTGCTCGATTTTCCAGCCCAAAGCATGTGCATGCCTGTCTTTAAGTACTGAAGATGGCCCTTACTGGATTATTTGAGTAGTCTTTGGTATTTCACTGCACTTAGATTTCACATATTGGAAACTTTCATGTTTTCTTGAGGAGACTCCCATACCTGGAGCTTCAGTTCTCTCAGAACTTAGATAAAAGTCTGCTAAATTAACTGCTAGTCAGTCTGACTACTTCATGTGGCTGCTTAACCATATGACCAACTCATTATTCTTATTTTAGGCTGGCAGTCTCTATGGCTAGCTTTTTCCAAATATATTCTTTAACAGGCAGTGATGATACAAGTCTGTCTGTCTGTATTTCTTGATTTGTGAAACTATGAATGGACAAGCTGGAGGTTGAAGCACAAGGTTAAACAGCAGTAGTAAAAGCAAGAGTACTTAAGAGCAGCAGAAAGCAAGAAAGAGTAAAAAAAAAAAAAAAAAAGACAGTATTTTTCTATTTGGGGTTTTTAGTCTCAGCCTCTGTCAGTCCTTAGTATATTCTGATCTTATATGCCCTTTTCTCATGAAATAGCTTTAACTAATAACAAACACAATGTGTGGACAGTGAAGTGTAGGCCTTTTGGAAACACTAAGCAAAAACATTAGTGTTTGCAAAGGGACTGCTGCGTAGTCCAGCCACTAGGCTGAGGGAGAAAACTTTGAGATATTTTACTGACATAGTGGGCTGGAAGAAATCAGGTTCAAGGATGATTTTTTTGAGAATTAGAATGAAGAGTGAGTATGCAAACCAAGAAGGGGGGCATTAAAAACAAAATAAATCTCCTAAATGTGTTTGTACACTAATTTAGTAATGGACAAGATTACTGTAAATGCCTTGGAAAATCCCATCAGGAGCCCACATCATGAAAATAAAAGTGCTTCGGTAGTTAACTTGCTTGCAAATCCACTATGTGGTTGTGTCCCGGCGTGCTAGGATGCAGCTCAAATACCTCACTGCAGCTTTCGCGTTTCCATCATCAGATGCTGTGTCCGTAGCAGGAACTGGTGTTGAACGGGAGCAAGATGACTCATCTCTCCTTCCTGAGCAGGGAAATGGGGAAGAGCAGGGCGAGTCCTTTCAATAATTGAGCTCTCTGCTCTCCTGAGAATTTACTGTGGAGGGCGAGGCGTGGTTTTCAATCTAAGCCCACTGTCACTGTAGAAAGCTTCTAAGTGTTTAATGTGAAACTGCAATACAGCTAGTTAATACCCCTACCAGTGTGTCAGTGTCCAAATAACTGTTAAGACTGCTTAAACTGTAGTGATTAAAAAGGCATCTTTCCCATACAAGGTCAAGAATACAAATATTGCTAGTAAAGGGCTGGCCCTTTCTTCTAAACAGCCTTTTCAGCTGCAGAATAATTTCCTATAACTTGCAGCAGATGAGAGTGCATTGCATAATAATCACTCATTTTGATTAGTCTTGTGTCAGGCCTTAATACATGTCTGGCTTCTGGGTGCTCATTCCCTCTTATTTTTTCTTAAGAACAGTGTATTTTACTGCTTTATTTGTTCTGCAGGCATGGAGTGGGTATCTCCACCTCTAGGACCGGGGTGCTTTTAACCGGGTGACCTGGTGAGCGAGTGCCAACATTAGCCTGGGGTCAGGCTGTGGCAAGAGTGACTGGGGGCAAACGCGGAACCTGCTGTAAAGGTGAGGTTTTCCCTGAGGAAAACCAGGTGCAGGTGTGGCCCTGCCAGTGTGCGAACTCATCTACCGTGGTCAGCTGTGTAGTAGCTGAAGGAAAAAGTCTAAGTGATTTTTGGGCCAGTGCTTTATTTTTAGTTTTTCTAATGTATTCTAGCTGAAGGAAAGGCACACAAAGAGAGTTTCAGGCCCTTTGCGTGCGCAGGGGCCATGGACGCGAGCCTGGGCACTGACAGCAGCAAAGCTGCTGTATCTGTGGCTCTCCCATTCAGCTCAGGCCTCCCGCGGCTTATTTTTGCATCAACAAATTAAGCGCGAAAGCAGTGTATAGCAAGCCCGAACCGGCTAAAAATAAGCTCCGTTATCTGCAGAGAAGGGCAGCGTTCCCTTTCACCATCCCGGCTGCCGTTCCAGATCGATTGGTCTAACGTCTGGGGCTCGCCTTTCATAAAAGAAGGGCTGTGGCTTTAAGTAATCGCTGGCTGCTTGTGCCAATTGCAGAAGCTGCAGTATCTGCCGCTGTCGGGAGCGATCGGCGCGGAAGTAGGATAACCTGCGGAGGCAAGGTCCAGCTTCGGGTTGCCGCTCGGCCGTGGCCAGACCAGCCTGGCCGGTGGTACCGCCACCTGCGCGTTGCCTATGAGGGCCGGGGGGCCGAGCGGGGGTCCGCCGGAGCTGGAAGATGGGCTGCTCTAGCAGCAAACTATGCCTCTATTCTCAGTGTGCTGCAGCAAGGGTAATCAGTATTTGTTTCGCAGCGCTTTTCCGACGGCAGGGAGCTGGACGGGAGCTTGAAGGTGACAGCGCCCTGGGAGTAGGAAGCCCAGACCTTGCCACCTCCTTGCCGTGGCCGTGGGTGTGAGGCGTGCCGGTCACCGAGCCGTGGAGCAACAGCTCTGCTGTGGCTGTGCCCCCACTTCTCCCTGGGGTGTGGGTCCGGGGGCAGAGGGGCCCGGCCGGCCACCTTCCCCCGGCTGAGGCACAACAACTAGGCAAAGCCGGGAGATGGGTGCTTCTGCTTGTTTTGAGCAGACTTGTTAGGATTCTCTCAGTGTAAGAAACATCATCTCTCTTAAAATTAAGAACCGCAAGCAGTGGGGTGGGTGGTATTCAACTTTGAACGGGGCTGTGCCTTTCCTTCATGGAACACTGAGCATTTAGTGAAGTTTTTTGGTTTTGTGTTTGAGTGAGCAGAAGATAAGTATTTAATGCATGCCTCTTTCACATATATACCGTACTTTTGTGCCCTTGACAGCTATCACTTGATTTGTTTTGGAGGTTTAATGTTGCTACACCCATCATAAAATATATAACTAATTGCTGCAAAGTAGGATTTTAATTGCAGTGTTATCCTGGAAAAAGCTATTCTTTGTTTTAAATTATAACTTCCTTAACAACAGAAGAACATCTGTGTATTTTGTAACAGCAGAACTGTTATCCTAAATGATTCATATCTTGGCTTCTTGCTCCTGCCTCTTGTTTTCCTACAGAACACATGTAAGTTAATTATTGGAAGGTGCCCTGCTCAGATCACTAGTAACCAAATGTTTGGGATTGTTTTTTTGTTTTTTTTGTTTTTTTTTTCCTCTGCAGAGGGAGGAAGCACTGAAACAGCGTAAAGAGTTATCTCAAGAGCTAGTTAACCTTCGAGGAGAACTAGGTAAGAATTTATTTTTCTATGCTTCATGAGAACAGAAATGCAGCAAAACACATCTGCGGAAAGACAGATGCCCTGGTATTGTAATGGCAGTCATTTAATTCCCTGACTGAATCTGCTCAGATGCTTTAATCGCTGCATTTCTCTGGAGCCCTGACAGCATGACCCCAGGTTCACTGAATTCCTGGCACTGATCTGACTGCGCCTAGCAGGGCCTCCTTGCAAAACATGTGTCTGATGACCAAAGCACTCAGTTTCTTAAAAATGGGAGGATGGCTGACAGTATATATACTTCTGTTTGATCCCTAAGTTATTTGTACACAGTCTTTCAGAGATTTTCTGGAAAAAATCCATAAACCTGTAAAATATACTGCACAAAATCTGCATTCTGCTTTAGTGGCTTGTAGGTGAATGCGTGTAAAATTAACAGAAGGAAATGCTATCAGGCTAATGAGATTAAATCTTTGAACTCATCCTAGTGGACAGATATAATATGAAATTGAGCTATAATGTGCAAGGGCTAGTTTTGCCAACTTTGAAGCTTGACTTAACTGCACTTAATGGTAACTTTGTATAACTTGAACTCCAAGCAGAATCATCTTGTGGAGTGCAGAAAGTCATTTGCTTGAAAATTATAGCACTTGAAAGTGAAGCTAGCATTTTATAAAAGCACGCTTCTGTTATGATGAAGCCCCTTTAAAAAAAATAAAAAAAAATAAAAAAAGCTTTGAAAGCAGAAGTAAAACGTGGAGCAGTTTCAGGTATGTACTTATCATTGAAAAGTTAGAAATATTTATTTTCACATGCTTTGGGAGTTGAGTATTGTCTCAGCGAAACTTGAGTGTGAATGTAGGTCTGTTACTTGCAGGTGCTGCATTTAATGTTCAGATTTATTTTTTAGTGCTGGTTAATAAGGCAAGGGCTCCCTGGCAACTACTCAGAGCTGGAAGTGGCAGAGGGGGAGGCGGTACCCATGTGCCCCCAGCTGAAGCAACAGAGCAGTTTCTCCACTTGTCACTATTTCTGACATCCAATTTAGAGGGTTACTTTAAAATGCTGCTTTCTGGGAGCTTTATTTGGTGCTGCATTAAATTGCAAACGTGTGAATGGGGAGTATCACAAACAGAGAAAGCCTTGCAGCCTAAATAGATAGTCGAGAGTACCAAAGACACTGCAGAAATGTGTAGCATTTTCTTTCTTGGAAGCTTAGTATTAAAAAGCTGAGGCTTTTCTAGAGCTTGATGCAGTCTGGCATCTGTCAAGCTGCAGCTTTTAACCTTCCTACTACTGATGGAAGCACCTGGACTGCAGTTCCGCAGTTGTTTCAGGCAGGTCTCAGTAGGGGCTGGCTTTGAAAGAGCCGGACCTTCCTCTGCCTCTGCGTCCCTCTGTCCTGCCTTGTGCCAGCACCACTGCCCGAGCAGCCGTGCGCCGAGCCCTGTGGTGAGCTGCCTGGGGACCTCAGCCAGCTGAAAACTAGCAGCTCGAAATGCTGTTTTGCCAAAGTTGCCCGGCCTGGCTCAGCATGTGGCTGAAGGAGCACCGGTGCTGGAGCAGACGGGAAGGAGCAGCAGGGTGGAGGGTTGTGTCCCCCATCAGCTGCAGCCGGCGCTTCTGTCACCCTGAAGTGACAACAACAAAACTAGAGTCTTAGTGCAGAAATGGGCTTCTTGCATTCCTACAAAGTTCTGTTATAAACATTATAGACTAGATTATTTTTTTGTGTGTGTGTGTGTACCTATGTGTGACTTTCTGGGCAAACCCGTTTGTTTACCTTATCCTGAAAATTACTTCAGAAGGATTGCTGTTCAAGCAAGAAAGTCTCTATTCTTCTATGTGCTTGCATCTTCAATATTGTTTTTCCTTTATCAACCTTGGTATTATGTTTGCCACTTATCAGGAAAGGGAAAATTCAGCTTAGATGGGCAGACCGAAAGGTAGCCAGCACTTTTGGCCATTACTGCTTTTGGGGTGGGGTGTTTTGGTTTTGGTTTGGTTTGGTGGGGTTTTTTTTGTTTTGTTTGAAAGCTTGGTTCTTTCTAACAGTGCCTCACTCTTAAATGAGCTTCCCATAAACTTCTTACCTTCCTGCTTTGATTAACAGCCTACTGAGCTCATATGTGGGACTCCCATTGCAAGAATATGCCCTTCAGTAGGTTGATAACTAGAAAAAACTTCAAATGCAACTGAGCTTGATGGATCTGTGATGCCTGAGTGCACAGAGCTGTCAGCTGGGGATTCTGGCTGGTGTGCTGCTGGACGAGGTTGTCAGCTGTTCCCCTCACGGAGCTGATCTTACTGGGTCAGCTCTGCAGGAGCATCTGAGTGGCAGCCTCGGGCTCGCTTCTCTTCGTAAGGTTACCAGACCATGCTTTCAGTGAAGCATTTATCTTCATGCAGCTTCTTTGTCTCAACCACGTCACACGTCTAGCCTGTTTGTACTTCTCTCTGCAGCATGTAAAGGGAGTGGATTTAATCACAGAAATGAAAAACGACACAGGTCTTCAATCCCATCTGTCTTCAAAAAGATATGTTTCAAAAATAAAAATTAAGAAAAATAAATAAGCCAGCCAGACCTCACTTGTTGACAAGGTGTAAGAAAAGCATTCTTGTAACAGTAGCTTTAGCTGAAAATAATCTATTTAAATACACACCTGCTAATCGGCTCTCTAGTGCCACTGTTAAATGGATATAGCTGAACTTAAGGTTTCCATAGGCTGTGTTGACATTAGGTACTGCAAATTTTGATTCATAGTATGATCTAGGCATGGATTGGCTCAGAAAGTTAAGTACAGTTTGAGTCTTACTTTGGCCGTGTGGATATGTGTACGTGTTTCCTGGAGCCCCAGCTTCTGTGTTTTTAATGCCTGTTGTTTTGCAGTTTGGGAGCAGGCAGACTAGGAAGAGGAACCAGGTGTGCCCAGCTCAGTGTAGTTTGTGCCCTGCATATTGCTGAGTCTGAGAGGAACATGAAGTCTCTTGCAGCTTGCACCCTGCACAGTTTGGATTCCTCAGTTTCTTCCTTTAAAATTTAATTGTGTGTGCTCCCAAGCTCCTTGATGTACCTTGCAAAAAAACCAAATTGGCTTGCTGTCAAATTTCCCATTTTGCTGGGTTATTCTGCATGAGCCTTTCTACCAAAACACCTTTTTGTTTAATGATTTAAATACGCATTGTGATCCCAGATCCTGCCTTTGGCAACGACCATGTGGCTGTGTAGAGCGTGGGGTGGACGGTTACCAGACACTGCTTTCTGCTCTCAGTAGCTGGAAACGCATTGTGAGGGTTAGAAATGATGATGTGTTTGGGGTCAGGCTTTTCTAAAGGAGTTAAAATTCATTAACAGTCAGGTTCTGAACTTGGGTTTCCTTAAAATCGCCAGCCACAAAGACTAAACTTTGTTATTTGAATGTAAATGCCTTGGTTCTGGGGCCTGGAGCAGGTACAGATGTCCTGTTTGTCACCTGTCTCCCATCTTATTAAGATGCAAGCTAGTCTGTAAATTATTTCTAGCTACCCGTTTAATTAGGTAAGCAGAAATTGCAAGAGCTGCATATTTCTTCAGAGGTACGAAACGCCTCCTCTAAATTAATTGCGCTCCAAATTGTTTCAGAGCCTCTTTGCAACCGTGCTGGATGTGATCCAGCTCAGTCCTACAAACCTGCAGGTGCAAAGCTGACTCAGCCTGCGCCCGCCTTGGCCCTTTGAAAATTGCCATTCGTGAGCCTTTTTCAGTGGGCTGGAAAGGCTTCCATGTATCCTGTACAGCCAAATGCCTTACTCCTCTCTCTTCCCTCCATTTGTGGCATTGCAGTTGATAAATGGTATTTTCTTCAAAATACCTTTGTGCTATTTTTTATTAATAAATGACCTTAAAAATGTTGTAGAGGTTGGGATAAAAAAAGACTATTGTATTTTACAGATGGATGGAGTGAATGTGATTTGGTTTTCAGGTTTTGGTAAGCCTTAAAAAAATACTTATTAGTAGGTAGACATTTCTGTCAATCATTTGGGGCAGGGCCTAACTTGCCACGAGTTGCATGCTCGCCTGCCTGCTGACACTGTTGTGTTTGCAGCATTAGAGTATAGGAACTTACTTCCTGGCAGATATCTGAATGCTTCACATATGTATTCAACCATACCCACTTAAATGTAGCTTAAAGCATGCTTTTTTGGTCTACCTGTCTCATTTCAGCTTGCCCAAGAACAAAAATACGAAATGTGGCTTAACACACTGTACTGTTAGTCTCGTTATAGAAGTAACACCAAGAAAACCTTGGTCATAAACTCGGAAGCATGTTTGGGTAGAAGAATTTCCAATATTGAAAACCAATTAATTATTGGATAACAATTTAAAAAAAAATACTATATAGAGAAGGAAATGAGCCCTTGTGTCTACAATAGACTTGCTGATTGATGGAACATATACAATAAATAGATGTTGCAATGTGAAATATAAAGTTAGAGCAATAAAGTGTTACGTACCATGACATTACACCATGCTAACTAATTGACGTTTTCTGGTAGTTATCCCCTTTTCACATCCCCCACATCTATTAAAATCCTGCTAGTTTACTGTCCTAGTGACCTCTGTTTCAAAATGTCGGATAGTCTAATGGGTTCTCATAAATCATACCTAGACCAGTGAGTGACTTAGACAATTTTATGAAGATAACTTTTGTTTCAAAACAATTTAATTTAGGATTAAAAGAAAAATAATCTGTTGTGTTTTATCTTCTTAGAGCTATGGTTATCATGACTTTTAGCAGAATGTAAGTTGAAAAATGTTTTTATGTAAGCATTTTAGCCATAAGGACTGAATTAGATGATAAATTGTTTTAGAATGAGAAAAAATAAATTTTTGTAAGAAGGAGATATTGCACAACTTAAGGTCTTATTTCTTGCCTACTTTTACTGAAAATATGAAATAGATTTTTGGGGGATACTACAAAATAAGGTGACTTTTCTAGTCTTCTCCTTCAGGTGATGCTACTTTTCACGTGGTTTGGATCTGCTGCCATTTGCACAGTTGCAGGGAGTTGCCACATGCCTGGTTCTCTGCACTTCTGTTTTGCAGGCATTTCTTTTACAGTTCTGGCACACAGAAAGCTTTGCAATGAAATACCCAAGATGCAAGTGGCCATTGTTAAACACTACAGATGAATATTAATTTTACATCAGTAAAAATCAGTATTTCTGATCTGAAGATACACTCTTACCAAATCACAGAAACTTTCTGATTGCCAGAGGTCATGGTTCTGCCCAGAAGAACCAGACTCTTTGTTTATAAGAAACAAGTGTTAAGAAGCCTAAAAATACAGATTAATCTTGCTCCCTGTCGTAATAATACAGGGAGAGACAGTGTTGCATGATTGGGAGGAGAGGCTGGGACCACCAAGTGGAGGAAAAATACTAATGGCTTTTAATAAAGAAGTAAATCTTGCTTCTGGCTGCTAAGTACACCATTCCATATGCTCTATCCTTAAAGCTTAAAACTAAGATAAGACTTACAAATAAGACTGAACAAACTTAATGGACAAATTGATGGAGCATCTTTTCATCTCTGTGGCTTGATTTTTCTCTCAAATGCTGTTGGACCGTTTGTCTCCTGTTGTTTTTTGCTCAAGGTCTGTGGTCTGTTATAATGCATGGCATAATGAAGATGTAGAATTGTGGAGGGAAGTGCTTTAAGAAGGGAGAGGAAGCACAGTAGTTGTGTACAAAAGCTCTGAAGCATGCCCTTCAAGTGTTTCTGAACAGTCAAGAGAAGTCGAGAAATCAAAATAGATCTTCTGTGCGCTTCTCCTGGAAGTGCACATGTTCCAGTTACAAATTTTTCTTCAAAACCAAGCACCAGTTCTATGAGACAACTCTTAAGTTGAGTAGCCACCCAGTTTGGTTAGTCAGGAGTTGTGCAGCATCCCCTTGCAGTGGATGAGTGGTCAAACTAAGGAATTGCCTTTTTATGGCTTGTCCCTTTCTTAAAACAAGGCAGTGTACAGTCATAAAATACATGACTCAGTCTGGAGATGGGTAGGGCTGCACAAAATACTTGCTGCAGACACTTGAATCTGGAGTATGGGGACAAACTTTGCTTTACAGGACTTCTCATAATTTCAAATTGATAATTCTTGCGTCAGTGCTTTTGCTGAAACTTCACACGCGCAGTTTCTTGCACCACCATGATACTGGGAGCTCACTGGTGGTGTGGTGGTTCTGCTCCTGGTTTGGATGGCAAGGATTCAAGTCAGACTTGCGATCTGCAAGGAAGCATTGCAGCCTCCAGCTTTGTGGAAGCCAGACATTACCTTGAAGGTAGCACAACATTCAACTGCAAATGCAAGTTTTAAAAGTTTGTGTTTGCCTTTGTAACGTTAGTCTTCTCCTAAATCTGAACTGCAGACTGGCTGAGAACTGATGTGTCTATTTCCTTTGACAAAGGTGTGGTTTGCTATTTGCCTTTTTTTTTTTTTTCCTGAAGTGTTTTGCATCATCTCAAGTTCTGTGTGCTGACATTTAAAGATAAGACAATGATAGGCAGCACATTCTTTCAGCTAAATGGAGGCAAGTGAATGGCTCTGGCCTTACAAATAAAGAATTGGATGATTGCTTCTTCTGAAGCATCTAACATGAGGCATGTGTGTTGCCTGCCTCTCAGCTATACCCCTCTTACTCTGCTATAGATGGTGAGATCTGTTCTGCGTGTGGTTGGTTGGCTCTGTAATGTCTCCATTTGGCTTGCTGCCTGGTTCTCTGCATCATAGAATAATGTCCTCTACCTGTGATGTTTCCTCTTCCCCCAGAACGTGACAATGCAGAGCATATATATTCAATAACTTTATGCCAGTGCAATGTGATAGAAGTGTGAATGCTAATTTTTTCCTTTTTTTTCTTTTTCTTTTTTTTTTCCCAAAGGGGAGCAGTTATAATAGAAGTTTGTGGAAGGAATAAAGATAGGGAAATTAAAACCTTTCTTGGTGGTGGTATAAAAGTATAGAAAACTGTGAAATCTGCTTGGGTTGCAGAGAATGTTGTGGTACATTTCAGTTGAGCCTTTAGTTGCATCGTTGCCAGTCAGGGGATGAACAGCTTGGCTTACATCTGTCCTGATCAGCAGATCTTTCACAGAGACCTAGCGCAGAGCTAAGCCTGCTGTTAAAACTCATTCAGGTAGGCACACACGCAGATTGATTCCCATGCAGTACAGCTCACTCTCTTACACTTTTTCGTTCAACTGCAGGTTCCAAGTGATGGCAGCAGGGCCAAGAGTTCTTTACAGTTTCCTTAAAAGAGAGTGCAAGTATCATTCATCGAGTTACTCGCTTGCTCTTAATGAGCTGTAGCAAAGAGGGAATCTGAGACGCATGTAACTTGAGGCACTGTGCCGGGGCAGGCTGCTTTCCCTAGAGCAGAGCCCAGTACTGCTTTGGGAATCGGTCCTTGAAGATACTGTAATTTATGTATCTTAAGGCTCAAACACAGCTGTGATGAGAATTTCTTGTATTGCCTGTCTAAAATCCGTGAATCTTCCCATGCTTTTACATAGAGTTTATATTTATACTGTTTGGGCAGTGTGCCAAGCACACTTCTGTATTTGATTAAAGATCAAACTAATGTTTTACTTTATTTTTCTCTTTAAGTAGACACTCATCTGACCTAATTTATTTTAAACCAAAGCACTAGAGTCTGTATAGAAGCAGTTTTGTTTGAGGTCAGTGACCACACACTTGGGTTAGAGGTCCTGTTTCACCTTGCTTCCAGGCTTTGGGTGCAGCTGAACTGCAGAAGGCGCTTGCTCCAGTCATATTAACAGCAGGAGAATGACTCCTCCTATTTGGGCCTGCCTGCCTGGAGTTGGGAATGCTAAATTTCAAACTCAAAAGTACAAGTTACTAACTTCTGTTTTGCCTTTTAATCAGCTGTAACTATGGGGAGACAAACCTAGGTAGTCTTTTTAGCTGACCTGTGTTAATATAAATGTAAAGAGAATTACACAGCATTTCTTTCTGTGTTCTTAATGCTCTGCACTTTCTGCCTGAAACTGTTCTGTATCTTGCATATTTAAATATCTTGGGCGTATGCATATTAGCAGTACCTTTCAGATTGGATGTTCTGTATTGCTCTGTATCGGGCAGTCCATGTCAGGCTAGAATTGCTTCTCTGCTGCATATCTGAGTGAGAGTAACATGTTGAATGGATGGTCTTCAGGATATTAAGACTTTCAAATTTAGCTAAGTGGCTTATATATCAAAAATGAAAGTATTCTGACAAATATGCTACTGAAATGGGATCAAATTAGATGAAGTAGCAAATCCAATTAATTTTTTTATTGGAGCACTCCAGTGTCTCTTGTGAGACATTCATTCTTCTATGTCATGACAAACTGTCACACTTGTGCTTTCTATATAGGTTCCTGGCTTAACAAGATTCAATTAATTTGCAGCATAAGAAACACTGAATTCAATACTTTTGCAAAGATCTTTTCATGTGTCCTTGGAGGTGGCACTCATTTCATGGATAAATTATATTTGTCTTTGTATAATCGTGTTGCTGTGCAGAGTGTTCACTATTTTTAATACTTGTAATGAAGACAGTGAAATTAGCATTGAACTTGATCCAGTTACCTTTTTTTCTTTTGACATCTTCAGTAACCACTTCTGCAGCTTGTGAGAAATTGGAGAGAGACAGGAATGAACTGCAAGTTGCTTATGAAGGGTTTTTGCAGAAGTTAAACCAGCAACATCACAATGATTTAGCTGAGCTGGAGGAGAGGCTTAAACAATTTTACACTGCAGAATGTGAGAAACTCCAAAGTATCTGCATTGAAGAAGCTGAAAAGTACAAAGCGCAACTCCAGGAGCAGGTTTGTAACATTTGAAGTAGAAATGTTCTCTAGCAATTGCTTTCTGCTACAAATGAGCCTTCAGAGAATCCTGGGGTTTGCTGATAATGGCGTTACTGTATCTAATGTGAAACTCCACTTCATTGCAATGGTAAAAATGTTACTACACTAAGCTGTCCAGATCTTAAGCTTGTGTTTAAATGTGGTGAAGATTCCTTGTGTTCTGCAAACTTCAATGACTTCTAGATCTCCACCTGATATTTGAGGCAGCTTGTGTTTCAAGATGTATAGAAATGCCCCTGGCCTGCGACCTTGCTTTGCAACAACTCCATGAGTGCAACAGATGCATACATCATCCTGTTGGTAGTGGTAAACTGTAAGGCATTGTGCTCATCTATTAAGTCTTGTATGTGGCTTAGCTTCTCCTGTGACCATCTGTTAAGTGCTACCTAGACCATTTAAAAGTACTCAATGTACTGCATAAAGCCATTGGAACAATACTTTAAACAAAGGTTAAGTTGACACATGTAAGGGGGGAGAAAAATCATGTCATCATATTGCAGGTGGACAACTTAAATATCACACATGAAAACTTTAAGCTGGAACTTGAAAACAGCCACTCAGAAAAAGTAGAGGAGCTGAAAAAGGAGTATGAATCCTCTTTTTCAGGCAAGTATTTTGTATACAAGTACATATGCTATAGTACTGCTACTTACACAAGCATTCTCATCAATATGTCCAATTCATTATTCTTGGCAGTCAGCTATCTTTATAAACATTGACTGAATTCCTTTTTTTGGAACTGAACAAGTCTCATTTTACATACAGAAATAACCATGATCCCATTGTAGTTGAATGAAACTTTTAAAACAGTTTAAGAGTGGAGATGACCTTTTCTTTCAGTAAAAGATGTCTGAATTGCAGTATGCCCTCAAAATCTCAAGTTAATGAGAGATTGCTCCAACCCCCCTAGTTCTATAAGGAGCACCTCAAAATTGAAATTGAGGCCAAGCAGGGTTTTGTGCTTTCCAGACTGACATGGGAATGTTGAGAAATATTACACACTGCTTACAGTATACTGGGACAAAGGTTGTTTTTCAGGGAGTGGGTGGTGAGTGTGCTCAGTTTTAAATGGCATTGCATCTAATTGATTTAAGTGTTGATGATTTCCATCCTCCCTCCAACTCTACTTGATAGCCAAGTTTCCAGTGATACTTTTGTGTCATTAAAACTGGTGATGCTTCCACTGCAATCAAAGAGCAAACTCCTCTGTGTGGCATCTCCAAAGTAGGAGAGGAAATGTTTTTCTAGAAGCTTGTGGAAGACACAATTTCAGTTTTTGCTGTGTTTCCCTTCAGAAACTGAGCTTTTGAGGGCTCAATTCATCCATTTTGTTCCATGTAGATGAATGCTTTCAAAACTGATGTGCTGTCAACTAATGACATGGATAGGCAAGGGGACAATCAACAAATCTGAAGCAGCAATAAATCTGATGCTTCGTACATGCTTTGGATCAGTTCATGATAAATCTTCTTTCCGTGTGGTCACTGCCTCTGCATCTGTGCATATGTGTATTGGCTGGCTTTTTGTGCTGCTGCTTTTCAAAAAGAATTTTCATGTCTTACACAGTATTAAAAATCTGCAAAAATAATTTGTTGCAGAGCTCAAGAGCGCCCATGAATCTGAAAGGAAGTCACTTGAAGATTCCTTTAAAGAGAAGCAGGAATGGCTAGAGGTTTGTTAAGGGTTGGGGTCATTGCTACAGTCTAAAACTTAAAAGGCAGTTTGGAGATGTGCACTGAATTCTTGGCCTAACTATACCATATCTTTCATTTCAGAAAAAAATTGATGAATTAAAATGTGAAAATGACTCTCTGAGTGAGAAGTTGAAATTAGAAGAGCAAAAACAAATAGCCAAAGAAAAAGCCAATCTTGTAAGTCTTGATCTTCAAAAGTAATGCAGATGAGCAGATCTTGTAAGCCTGGGTTTGTTTTATTGCATAGTATGAAAAGTTTGCAATCAAGCCTGATAGGGCTTCCATACTTGTTAACTTTTTATGTAAATGGCTTGCTTGCCAGAAGTTCTTCTCAAGCACTACAGTGTTATATATTAACCTTATCATTATAAGTTTATAAAGCTGTTGAGTGTCTAAGTCCATGGTGTAAGTTATAGCCAAAGTTAAATTGAAGACCTTTGTGTATACAAAAGTTGTACCATAGCTTTCTTCTGGACAGTTGGTAAATATTCTAATGCTGCTATGATCCGTGTAGGCTTACGTCACTATCACAAAACTCCCTTCTTGAGTCTTTAATGCATTTATTCAAACATTGATTCATACTTGTTGATGATTTATCCTTCAGATAAACTTTTATTTTGTCCTGCCTTTCCTCCAAAGGCTGCTGTTGCCTGTGGTGCTCCTGGGTTAGAAATGTGTTCTGACAGAATTTTTTCATGCACTGGGAGGGTTACAAACATGCTTATCTTTCTGGTTACCTGGAAATAACTGGAATACCAGTAGTATTGCTTATCCCACAGAGAGAAATTACACACTTAAAAACTCACTTGGGATGCTTTTAGTAGAAGTTGCCCTAGTTTTCACAGGAATTTAATTTATTTTTTCCTCTCTTACTGCTTATTCTAGTGGCAGAACAGAGCTGCCACAAGAACGTGGAACCACAATATGTTGTTGTGGTTGGGAGAGATGATACCAAAGAGAACATGTTGTACACTGCACTTGGGAGTTTGAACAGTATTCTACAGGCATGCTCAGATGTTTAATTTGAAGGAGCAATAGTCAAGTGCCTTTACATAGCTGCAAATGCACTTTGCATCCTGACAGCATAAGACACATCATAAGCTTGAGGCTTCTGTATGGAAAAATACTGATTTGACCCAGTATATTCTTCTGTACTAAACACAAATTCTGAGCTATCAGAATTCCCACTAGCCCATTGAAGACAGAGGTGTATTTCCAACTCTCCAGTATTATTTAGATAATGTCACTTGATACTCCCAGCTTTTTTGCTAAAATCTTATCTGGGCCTTTCAGTCTTTTTATCTGTCTCTGTGGTCTACTATTAGTAGCTAATGAGGTGGCTCAGATTTAACTTTAAAAAGACATTTTAAGAACATTGGAGCAGAACAGGGAAAGAAAAAAATTAAATTTTGAACATAGTGTAAGCTGCACTTAAAACTTTTCAGGATCACTTTTCTCTCTAGCTCCTAGATTCCATGTAAAGCCACAAAAAGGCGGAATGAAGTTCAAATTGTCTGCTTCCTCCTCTGAGGCAGCACAGCACACCCCACCCTCACATGGACTTCTGTTCAAAAGTAGAAATTAAACAAGAACCACTAATGCCACAATCCTTAAAAACAGGCAGGAGAATGAAATGTGTAGGTGATAAGGCCCTTGTTACCTGCAAAATGTACTGGCTCTGTCCTTGTGGCACTGCACCCCACAAAACTGCAGGCATTGCCCTCAGAGTCTGAGGTTTCTGACATGGCAGTGAAGCTGTTACTCAATGCGGTACACCACTATTCTTACCCAAATATGCAAAAACAAGTTTTGTTTGTTTTTAAAGATAAGCTTAGTTACACAATGCACTTAATCATTTATTGATTTCTGTTTGTATTCCACTCAGACTACCTGGAAATGGACTGAGACTTGCTTTATTTTTCCTATTTTTGCCTGTGACTTTGCCTTTGAAATGCAGAGAGCATGTTTTACTCTGCAGTGTTTGAATGGTTCATTACTCTGGAAAAGAATTTCTTGAGGAAACCAGATCTGACCCTGCCCTGTCCCCTTCCTGGTCTCCCTTCCACCTCCTGGATAACAACAAAAAAAAAAGAAAAAATAAAAAAGAAAGTGCTAACTGGCTGTATTGTAGATAAGACAGGGATGTACAGCAGTGCAAGATTTTTTATGTGCAATTGCATTGTTAGGGTTTAAGAAGAATGTAAACCTGAAAATTTTCAATTTCTGCTTATGAATCAGCTACCTTTTGACTCAAAACAGGGAAAATCAGCTACAGTCAAGTTCATAGCTTTAAATTTCTGGTGCTTTTTTAACTATTCCAGCATCTGAAAACTCTTCAAATGTTTACTCTAATTACCTCTTGGGATGGGTTATGAGTAATATGAAATAAACTTTGGAACTCCTAGCCTTAAAGGGAGCCTTTGGGCACTCCTGCAAAACAAGTTTCGCTGTGACAGCTTTAGTGCCTTCCTTTGACTCACAAGGGTTTTTCACGTTTGTGCATAGAGTGTGTTCTGAACAGCTTGTAAGGAAAACTGCAACTGTCCACCTACACTGAAGGACAAACAAAATCAGAGGAGAAAGTGGTACCAGCTCTTTTTTTTTTTTTAAATTCTAAACTGTCTGACTTGATTTCACTTAAACCAAGAAACTGTCATTACCATATGTATTCTTGTGCTCTTTCTAAATAGCAGAGAAACACTTAAATTGTTCCTGAAATTCAGGGTACTAAGCAACCTCTGTGGAAATCTTTCAGAAAAACCCACAGATTATGTATCTGGAACAGGAGCTGGAAAGTTTGAAAGCAGTGCTGGAGATCAAGAATGAGAAACTCCATCAGCAGGATATAAAGCTAATGAAGATGGAAAAACTGGTGAGTTTTCCTTGGGGTCTGGCAGGTTTGGACTGTGTCTCTGGGTTATGTTCTGATAATGAACTCGGGCTGGTCAGACTTATGTGCAAGGTTTAATTTTTTTTGTTTAAAAGGAAACACAAAATGATGCTGGGACACGCTTACATTGCAGGTACAATTATATCTACATTGGGCTGTAGTGTAAAGAGGGGGAAGGAATCACCAGATGCTGTGAATGACCTTTTAACCTCTTAAGACAACTACTGGTTTGCATAAACTATTGCTAAGTTAGTACAGGGTTATCTGGGAGCCTCTTCCACATTTCCTTTCCTCTTCCTTTCCTCTTGTCCCCCATCCCCCAAAGTAAAAATCCTTACCTGCTGTGTTTGCTTGAGTGTTACAGAAGATAGATTGCACTGGCAGGAAATCATTAACATGGAAATGATCCTAATTAAACAAGAAGGGATCAAATATGGAGTGCAGTAAATGTTTTCATCTAGAGTTGATTAGCTTAGGTCAATCATTTGAGCTATTATCTTTAAGCTACTTGTTTAGCTGTGTGGATTTGATCCTGATCTGTGCATAATTCCACATGAAAAGGCAATTTCAGGGGCAGAACTTGTAATTACTTAGCATGCTCTTATCTGTGGCAGGACAGGGTCCTTATCCTGGGTGGGGCCTTTGAACACTGTTGTAATACTTACTTAAGCAAGATTTTAATGAGGAAGGATAGAAAGAGGTTTGGATACAAAGGAATACATTCATGTCAGTTGTTCAGTATTGTACAGCACCATATGTTGCCCTGGTCTACAATTACTAGTAAATTACTAGTAAGCCTTCATCTTTCCTGACAGACATTGGCTGCAGTATAGAAGCCCTTGGACTATCCAACCATTTAATCACTGTTTTTCCTTAACTTCTGATAACATCCTGCAGCAATGAAGTAGAATGAGGACAGTAACAGGGAGAGCTGTTTACACAGGGGAGCTCTTGAATTTGTCACATTAGCATGTTATTTCTAGACAGTCTTCTGTCTGCCACAGCTTCTAAAACTGCTGCCCACCACTGGCAGAAGTTACTAGAACATGCTGGTTAACTAGTAGATCCCTTATCCAGTACTCCTTTGTTGACATCTAATCAGCACACCTGGCAAAATGCCAGTGTTACCTTATCCTTGTGTAAGTGGGATCTATTTGACTATTATACAGTACTAAGCCACAATAGCAGGTCAGTCTCACATTACTCTAGGTTTTTGCACTTACTGTAACAAGGTCTGCAAACTCCAGATTCTGAATGTCTGTGATAGCTCAGTCAGTATCTCGATGACTGCATGTAACTGTGACCTTTTTTCAAAGCTGGAGACCAATACAATCCTAACGGATAAATTAAAGAAGGTTCAGCAAGAAAATGAAGAATTAAAAGCTCGGATGGACAAACACATGGAGCTTTCAAGGTAAAAAATATCTGTGGACTTTTAGATGTTCTTATGAACCAGGGGAAGGCGTTCCTGTGACGAGAGAAAATTCTGAGTAAATATTAGTGACTGGGATTTTGTAGTACTCTGTAAAAGAACACACCCCTTTCTTCCCCACTTGTGTATCTGCAAATGTGCATTCCTGTGTAGAAGAACAAGCAGGAACAGATTGCAAGGGGGAAAGGCTCAGTATGTTCTTCAGTGCTTCAAAACAGTATTTTCAGGGAAGAAAAAGCAACTCAGAAGTATCATCCTATGGTACATTGGCTCTTTAATTATTACTGGCTTGTGAGCTAAACCTGGTTTTACTTTCAACCACTTCAGTTGAGTGATTTGTCCCCAATTTAGATGAGTGAAAAGGCCAGTGTGTTTTATGTAGCAATAATGGTGATATTTAACATGAATAAAATGGGCCTGAGGTTCTCCTAACTTCAACTCTTGCTTAAATGGATGGGCCAACTCTTCCAGTTTGAAGGAAACTACAGAAATGCAGCTTCTATGTAGAACTGAGCCTGCAACGAGACCCAAAGGCTCCAGCATGGCCATTTAAAAACATCTGTCATGTAGGACAAACGTCATGTCAAGTAGGACAAGTCTCACTTTTCAGATGCTTTTTCTGGCCTTTCGGGATTTTTCTTATTGGGACTGTCTCCTGTTTTCTGCAAGCTACCAGTTTAAATGCAGCAAGGATGAGAACAGGCTATATCCTCCTTTTAAGGAAGTAATTTAGTTGTCAGCCAAGCAGGGATTTATGCAATTTCAAACTTTTCTTTAAGTTCAGTACTGTAGCCTCCACCTTGGGTTATGTGTTCTGATGTAAATCTTATGTTTGCAGGCAACTTTCTACGGAGCAAGCTGTTTTACAGGAGTCGCTAGAGAAGGAATCAAAAGTAAACAAACGCCTGTCAATGGAAAATGAAGAACTTCTGTGGAAGTTGCACAATGGTGACCTATGCAGCCCAAGAAAACTGTCTCCCAGTTCTCCATCCGTGCCTCTGCAGTCCCCACGAAATTCTGGTAACTTCTCTAGTCCTACAGTATCACCGAGATGACATCTCTTGAGAGAAAGAGGGGATTGCATTTCATTTGCAATCTGCAGAACCAATCCTAACTTTAATCACAGGAGCAAGAGCTATATTAGCCAAGTATGACAACTAAACATAACTGGAAACTTTTTGGTGCAAAAATGGCGATAAAGAGACTGAGAATATGGGAGTAAGACATTCGCATTGCTCCTTGCAAAAAGACTTGTTTATGACCTCTATGGACATTGTTGCACAAAGCACTTACAGAGCAAGGAAAGACTTGTTCATTGCCTTTTCACCTAACTATAAGACAAAGCTCAGGGGCTCAGAGATAAAGATCACAACCTTTATAATATGTTCCTTATCACAGACACTTTTTTAAGGCTGTGTGTATGCGTGTGTGCGTGCGTGTGCTGTGGATGGAATGGATGTAACACACGGTGCGTGTGTCTAATGCTGCCTTCTTTGCTGTGTACATAATAAAGGATAAAAGCTGAAGACTATATATTGACATGTACTTCCTTAATAATGTTGTCAGTACGCATGCTTTTAGCAAAGAATACACTCACCTTGGAATGAGGAGAAACTGCCGCTAGTACTATAGGTTAGTTTCCTTCATCTTTCTGGTTTCAGTTCAGTAAAAAAAAGGCAGGAAAAGCTTTGTCAACTGACTCGCTAGTGTCTTGGCTGACCTGAGTATGCAACTTAACTTTGAATTAATTTTAAAAACAAACTGAATTGCAGCCATATTTTGCATGGATTCTTGGTTTAATATCCCTGCACTGCACGACTCTGCCATTTATGAGGAAACATTTTTTGCAGGTTACAGTGGATTTTGGCTTTTGAGTCAGCAGGCTTGCAGTCAGAACCACAGTAGCCCTCACGGTCAGAAGTTAATAGCTGAGCTGCAGGTTTAGAAACCTAGACCTGTCCTCTTACCTGCTGAAAAGGAATCACTGATTTCCCCAAAACAGCATGTCCATTGCTGAGATTGTCTGCTGAGTATAAACTAGATGTAGATTTGAAAGCCAAAGAGAAAAATGCAGTAGTCATTAGGTGCATTCTTAACTCAGTTCTCAAGAAGAATCTTAAGTAATTTGTGAATTCCGGTGTATCTAGTGACACACTTTGCCTTTTTAAGCATTAACATTTGTATTAACATTCGTATTAACATTCTTCAGGGTTGGCTAAATTCACCTGAGGGGGAATGTGGTAGCTGTGTATTTATCTTGCTAATTCTGCCATACCTTCCCTCTTAGACTGCAGGATATCAGTGTTCTGCCAGTCCATTTGGCAAAAGATCCCTTACAAGAGATTCTGTAGAGTAGGGGAAAAAATTGTCCTGGCTGCCGGAACTGGAGGCTGGGGGTGTCAGTGTTTCTGGAAATGTCATATGCTGAGCTTCAGCTTCAACAAGGTAATTGCATAGCCTTGCTACACCCTTGGTCAGACCTGTTTAAGGTGTCTACATTGTCCCTACTAAACACAGGTTCAACTTCCAACTATTATTACAAAACACTGCCTATGCTTGCAATAGCTTGGGTTTTACAGTACCACTTCCAGGACCATTGTTACACTACTGTTCAGCTAATGCTGTTAGCTATACTGGTAACTGTTATGGTAAATTGTGTCTCCTGAGTTTCCCTGTGTGTTTCAGTAGCTTGGGGACAGGAATCAAAGGGATGGAAAGCGTTTAGGGAACTCAATTGGAGAACCATTTCAAACTATATTACCCCAAACTTGAAAAATCTTGGCTAGTAATGAGGAACACAGACTGTTAACAGTGCTTATACAGTAAGTAAACTTGTAATATACTTAAACTTGTGATTGACTATTTCATTAAATTTACTTAATTTTCCATAAGTGTACAGGTTAAGGGTGCCATTTCTATGGAACATTATGCTCTCGCTTTATCCTCTTTAGGGTACTGTATATACCACTTGTTTGTGGTATCAGTACTTAATGTTTTCTAGGGGTTTCAAATTTAACTATGAAAATCCTCTGTTGGCTAAAACTTGGATTAAAGTATATCTTGGAACGTTCTTATTTTCTATGGTCAAAGAGATTTGATCACATGTATTTGACCTGAATGCTTAAAAAATAAATTTTTTTTTACTGATTGAAGGGTTTTTTTCCTGCTTATATTAGTCAAATGATCTTTAATCTAAGGAGGAACATTCCTCCAAATACTAAAAACTCTTAGTACTTGCTCAGCACAGCAGAACAGCAATAGTGAAGCTTCACTGCACAAATTATTAATGTTCAGCTAACCCTTGGAAAATTTTAAATCTACCCTTACTACTCTAATGTAGGTAGAAGCTACACAGAGCTTGCTTGTGATTAATAGTGATTCAGTTTGAGTTGGCTGTTTGTTAAAAAAAAAAAAAAGACTGCAGATAACATACAGAACTAGCAATAATAAAATACTTGAGTGCAGTTGGCTTAATATAGGGACCCAATGTGCATATGCCTGGTAAAGGCATCCTGCAGGCCTCCTCTTATTAAAATGCTCACCTTACTCAGGAAATTTGTGTGAGAAAAGCCACCTCGAGTTTAGCAATCTAACATCATGTCACAAGAACAGTTGCAATGTTAATGCCTCAAATAAAATGTGCAAGAGTGCATACAAATGTTTGAAGATCAAATATAGTGTACCCCTTCTTCATGTAACAGAGAAGGGGAAAGCTTTTCCAGGCTACCAGTACAGAGAAGTATGGTATAGTAAATAATACAAAGACTGTTAATTTGTCAATAGTTTCCCTTCACAATACAGGAGACTCCTCGCCTCTAAACTTCTCTAAAGTAGGATCTATAACACTCTTATGAAGAAATGAAGAATCCTTGTATATAGAAATCAGACTATAGAAATACCTGTTTAGTGTTTGTCCTGTTGGTCTGAAAGAAGTAATTCTGTTGATCTTGAAGCATGGTTTCAATACTTTTCTCTGAGTATTGATATTTCAAGCTTTAACTTAAACACTATGTGTTAGCAAAGGCTTTGTTCGATCCAGTAACTTTCACATATTTTTTGGTGATTTCTTTAGTATAAAGTTTCCTTCAGGAAAAGCTAGAAGCCTGCTTACCATAAATATAGGCCAAAGGCCTAGTGCTAGTCAAGCAATTAAACAAGTGATTTTCTTCAAATACTCAACCTTAACTAGTAGTTCCAACTCTAATGATGTGCTTCAGAGGAAGTTAGTGAAATTTATATTTGTACCAAATAGTTTGTTACCATTCAAACTATTCATAAGGTGGTTCACCTCCCTTCAACACTTCTAAAGGTCTTAGTGCAACTTGTACAGTATTTCCTGTAAAATTTGAGGTGAATCATTTCCTTACGCTAACTGAAGACTTGAAGTTTCTCATTACAAACACCAAAGACACTTGCATGTAAACGGGTATCATGCAATTCATGCAGGAAATTCCTTCTAGACAGTGAGTAACCACTGGTCTTCAAAACTGTAGTTACCTGACAGCCAGGAAATCTTTTAGGGCTGAGCTGGAGTCAAAAAGGTCATCAGAAAGTTGGAATAATCACTGAACCCTTAAGAAACAAATACCTTCTGTCCATTGCTGCTGCCTTGCCTTAGCAGAGTGGTGACTGAGGTATGGAAATAGAAATAACAATACCAGCAGGTTTAAGCAGGTGACTTTGACAAGTCACTTAAATTTAAGTTCCCAAGCTTCATTCTCTTACCCTGTGTCACTGTTCATTTATGTGGAAATGTGTAATTGCATCAATGTAAAAAGAATCAGGCATGCCCAGGAGGCTTTTGGTAAAATAAGAACTATGTAAAATAATTCTCATTGTTTACAATGATGAGAATTATTTTGATGGGGGGAAACACCACCAAAAATTCCAAAAATTCTTCCTTAAAGGCACTACTTTTGTAGTTATAATTAACCTCAAGAAACTGCATGTGATTGGTACACATAACCATTAAATCTGAGGGAGACTACTTGAGCAATGATGCAGCAAAGGATTTACATCATCTTTTCCTCTCCCGCCAAACTCACCGAGGAAGCGATGCTACCATGTGAACTGCTGCACTGTTGAACAAGTCTGAACAGGTGACACTATCTCCCACTTGCTAGATATTTTAAAAGAAATCAATTGTCAAATTAAAGGCTCAAAAGTGCTTTGAAATTTAAGGAGTTGGCACAGCTCCTGTAGTTCAAAGGGAAATACGTTGTTCTGATAAATGAAAACGCTAAGAAGGGATGAACACATTGCACAGCCTCATCCAGAAGCTCAGGGATTGTTAAAGTTACTTTGGTCAGATTGAAGCCTTGCCTAAAAAACAACAACAACAAAAAAAAAAAAACAACAACAACAAAAAAAAAACCACCACAAAAAACCAAGGTACAAAGACCTCTTTTAGGTATTACTATGAAATTGTGTAACAACTATTTAGTCATTACAACAGTGTAACATTCTTGATGCCTGTTAATAAGCAACGAGAAAGATTAACAAGGGACTGCCTCTTATGCCTTCGAAGTTGGTCCTATTGCTTGCTGTATTTAACTTTTATTTGGTTTTTAGTGACCTTGTTTCCAGAGGCCAGCACTATTACAGGCATCTGGGGGGTGTTCTCCACAAAGCCTATTTCATGAAACATGCTAGAGCCCTTTCAGTCTTTACCATGGATATTTATCATATCAGTTACATTGTTTCAGGTTCCTGCATGCTGAAGAAAAAACTTTGAGCAAGCTTGTTTAATGTTTTCATTAGCTATACTAATAATCAGGTTAATAACATGATTGAAAAACTGCCATTTTTACATTAGTACTTAGTAGCTATCACTACTCAAAGCAGTACGGTACACATCTGCTCAAAGGTTTGAATTATCTGGAGTAAAGGGCCTACTTCAAGCCTTCACCAGAAGAAAGCTTTAGGAAGCATTGTCAAACGCAGGCTGAGACACACTGAAGCATGCAAGCAAGGGACCGGTTCCTTGTATGCTCAGAGTAAGTTGTTTTTCACATGCCTTGTAAATCAAATGGCTTGCATTAAGAGTTTTTTTGTCACACAATTACACCACTGAGTAGATTTGTATTGGAAGTTCTAACTTACACAGATTCTGTGCTTGAGGCTTGAAAAACATTGCCAAAAAGTTCAACAACGTTGTTATCAAGTTCTTACCTTTTCTCTGGAAAGTCTCTTTCCTTGTACTGGTAACTAAACCCAGGGTGAAAGAAGCAGTTGCTTATTTATCCAGATATAGTTCTGTGTAAATGAAACATCTTTCCTTTCCTCCTAAGTAAATTAAAATCACATTGAACTTGTTATTAACCTGGGAAGAGATTCTGCTGTATAATCAAACATTATTCTAATATTACGTTTGGGTTTTTTTCTTCTGTAAATGATACTACATAAATAAATGCAAGTTTTACCTTCAGCAAACATAGTTTGCTACATAATTTAGTAAACATAACACCATACATCTATTGAGGAGTGAACTCTAAATAAGCTACATATTACAAGAAGGTTGTAAGAATGCTA